CCTTCAGCGGACCAGACCGTGACCTCCAAACCCTTCAGCGGACCAGACTGTGACACCTCCAAACCCCTTCAGTGGACCAGACCGTGACCTCCAAACCCTTCAGCGGACCAGACCCTGACACCTCCAAACCCTTCAGGGGACCAGACTTGACACCTCCAAACCCTTCAGCGGACCAGACCGTGACACCTCCAAAAACCCTTCAGCGGACCAGACCGCCGTGCTGCAAATGCGCCCATTCTATTGGTCCAAGTTTTCTATACTAGTATGGGCAGGGTACCTTTCTAGGGGTCCCAAGAACAGGGATTCCACGGTTCTATACTAAAATGAAGCTGCGTGGCTATGACTGTGGAACTCTCACGCCCCAAAAGCGAGCAGCGAGCCTCAAGACCCAACCTACTCTGTTCTGCCTGCAACTGGACCCTTACCCAACTCTGCACCCGTTGAATATCCATCTGAGCCTTCAGAGAATCCTCCCAAGTCCTCACCACCTCCCACACAGGAGTCCTCACCACAACAACAAACCGCTGTAGGGCCTTGCGTCCAATGACAATCGCCAATTCAGCCTCAAAGTCCACCTCCAAAGCGAAGGGGAGAACTCACTGTTTCGTCTTGGCTAGTTGTAGAAGGAACATAGAAACAGTAAAACAGGGCGAAACGTACTCTGAAGGACTCATGGGCTTGGGATTTTCTCCGGCTGAAAATTAAATGTCCGAAAAACTGGGTTGCTCTTAAGGAACTGAAATTAAGTTACTGTCACAGGGAAATCCTACATCTGTATACCCATATTGTGGCAGCTTGATTTGAATTCCTGAACAGCAACCCAGAAGAGGATTTCACATTTCGAGGTTCGTGAAGATTGCTGGGGGCTTATGTGCCAGATCATGTATTGCAATGCCTGGCATCTGCTTGGGGCTGCAAGACGTGAGCTCAATGAGATTTGTGAACCCTGCATCCTGCGTGAGCTGTCTTGTGGGTAACCGCCAGCACTGGACAGTACAATGATGATGGTGGTGGTGGTGGTGGTGGTGGTGGTGGTGGTGGTGGTAGTGGTGGTGGTGGTGGTGGTGGTGATGGTGATGATGATGATGATGGTTAGGATGGGGCGTTGAGGACGAGGATTGTCAGGATCGTCAGGAATATGAGTATGGGAATGGTGGAAAAAAGAATGAACAGGACTTAGATGAAAATCAGGCTGAGGATGAGAAGGTCAGCATGGGGATCAAGTACGGCGGTGATAACTACACGCACACATCTGACAGGTGGTTTCGGCGGAACGTGCCTGAAGATAGACGATTCGCTTCTTTTGCTGCACCAATGGAGAAGCGGAATGCAAACAGACAACAGCATTGCATTTTGCATGGTTGCCTCTAAGACATCATGCGCATTCCCCGCACATCTCTGGCATCCTCACAGCATCCCTTGAGGCTGTGTGACGGGTATGGCCTTGAAATCCAAGTGACCAATTTCCAACGAAGGGCTTCAAGCCCGCTCACACAATTTTCCTCCCATGTAATCATGACGAACTGAGTTACCCCACAGAGGGTATATAGGGTTGAGGTTTTGAATAATATGGGCATATAGTACATAGTAGGGTTTCCTTACTATAGTCACTCAGCTTAAGCTCCTCAACAGCAACCCAGCAAAGGTGTGCCGAAACCATGCAGCTTGGAGGTGCTCATAGGGAGCGCGGCACAGGCTCTGCGTTAGGGAGACGCTTGAAGGCGTCTCGGCCATCCGGAAGCTTGTATCGTACCACCACGTGGTCATCTGCTACCTGAGCTCTGGCAAAATATGCAAATCCGACGGCCAGCTACAAATCACATGACCTTCCCCCAATCAGCGGGTCGACCAGGCCTCGTGTATTTGCGCAGAAACCCACCTTAGCTTCAGATGTAGTTTCCCTAAATAGCGGGACCCCTATATAGACCCCAAAATACTATTATCCTCATTCTGGGGAACCCAAGAAAGTACCCCAATTTTTGGGAAACCCCAAACCCTATAAATCTATGCATCCTTATAGAATCCCTACAGAGCCCTTGAAAAGTACTTCTAAATTTGGGAAACCCACAGATCACGCAGATCCTGACCATGCTGCAGCCGCGTCACTTCCCACTGGTCTTGCTGAAAATCTGAACTTCCGTTGGGCCCGCAGTCCTTTCCCAAAGGGTCCATGTAGCTATATAGTATCAGGGTTTGGGATTTAGGGTTTAGGGTAAGCATCTAGTATATACCTGGGGTCTAGGGACCTAAGTCTATAACTATATACATATATATACTATCTAGCTACGTGGATCCTTTGGGTTTGGGGCATTGGACCACATCTCGGAGAAATGCGGGAATGATCCCTGGCAAGGAGACTTCTGCTCTACCCTGCAATGTCTGAGCACCGTGCCGATTGGGAAGCCTGGGTGGCAGGGTCGGCGGTGCAGAAGCTGGTTGCTGAACCTCAGCTAAATGTCGATGCCTGTAACGCGAGCAACGATTTTTGGAGCCACCGCATGTGGGGGGCAAGCAAGGCGCAACTGAGCGCAGCACTTCTGGAGCCGCAGCTGGCACATCGAACAGCCCCTGGAAAAAACCGGAGACGCCGGAGAACATACTTGATAAAGAGAATTCTTCTTGGCCAGCCACGTCCTGCTGCTGGACCTCATCCAGCAGCCCGAGGCGGGTGATGTGCTCAACAATTCTGTGAGCCAATACATCTGGGGCCAAGTATTTGCCTTCACGATCGAGGCCTTCGACAAAGAGGCGACTTGGTCCGAACGCAAGTTTGCAGTAGCTTTTTCCGTCCTCGTGTCCTGGAGGTTGGGGTGGCCAATGTGTGATCAGCTTGACTGGGAGGAGCTCAATCTCGCGAGGATGTTCGTACACATGTTTAAGCTCTGACCAGGTCTCGTAAGTGCGAGTTGTTACTTCGCCGTACGTAGAGGTGCAAAACGCTACCATGATTCGTGCGCGGAAAAGATAGCTGGCTGTGGGCACTCCGTAATCATGGGCAGTTTCCACCATATACGTCCGGATTCCACGGCTCTTGAGCTTACCCTTCACAGCGTGGAAATACTTGATCTTGTCCTTTCAGGGCCAGCCTCCTAATTACACTTCTGAATGACTGTATCATAAGAATGATGCATCTTGCGACAAGCATAGAATGGGTTCTTCAGACTGAACCGTGCGAGATCTTCATTGCGCTGCCTACATCACGATCTGCTAACGCAGGAACATCGCTGTATTTCAACTCAGCACATGCTCGCAACAAGATCACACATGTCTCCTCACTGGTAAACCTTCCCGACAGCATCACACCATCACGGATTGTCTCCGACGGCCACTCTGCTGATCCTAGGCCCCAAGCCATTGACGATAAAGGCCGTTCGATTGCTGGGTCAGTTTTGCTGAAGCCAAATGCGCCACAGACATGGGGACGCACAGGACAACGGATGGCTTGTCTTACTGCAGCATGAACGACGTAACTAAAATGCCTTCTCTGCCAGAACACGTCATCCAAGGAGCACACGTAACATCTGATGGTGATAAATTACATGTTATTGTCCGCGGGAGGAAAAAATCTCCCTTGGACGCCCTGCCCTAGCAAAAACAGGTCCAACCTTGTTCCTGTCTTTGGCCAAGCGATGCCACTCTAGCTGTAGGGCCTAAAGAACTACCAAGAATTACCAACATTTTTTGAGGTTTATTTGAGGTGCCCTATACCATAACCGGAATATTTGCTATTTAGGCTTGTACAGGATATCGCCAAGTCCATCTTTACTAGCACATGCCCCGCCACCAGGTGTGATGCATGTCGACACTTGCAAGCCTCGCAAAGGCTGCCTGATCGTGGTCCTATTTGAATTGGGGGCTAGGTTCAGGGTTTAGAGCACATCCTAACTTGCTGCGCTTTGGATCCGAGGGAATCTCCCGATCGCTAGCATGCTATCGCAAACCCGGAGCAATTGGCCGAGAAGTACAGAAATCCAAAGCCCTCATCAAACTACTTCCCCAGACCTCATTCTTAGCAGATATGGTTCCAAGCCTCAGGCTTCTCCCTGGCCACCTGATTGTGCATTGTGCTTCGGGCTTTTATGGAAGACTTGGATTCTGGGTCCGCATCCTGAGGTTTGGGATTTGGAGTTTGAGAACTTGCAATGTGGGTTAGCACTGAGATGTGAGATTGCAGGGCTGCGTGGGTTTGCTGTCGAGAAGTTGGGCTCAGAAAGCCTGGGTGTGGGCGAGCGAACAGAGACGGCGTGTTAGGCAGAAAAGACCGGAATTGCCCAACAGAGCCTAAATAATGACCACTTATCATTTTGAGGCTTATTTGAGGCAGCCTACACCATAACTATATAAGAAATGTAGGACCAGGATGTTGGGACTTATGCCTCTAAACCCCTGCATGAACTTTATAAACCCAGCATGCTGGGGTAAAATCCCTAACCCTAAAACCCAACAAAACCTGAACCCTGAAACCCTAAACCCAAGATATTTGGGCCTCTGTATTAGGCCTTGCCTCTCCAATGCGGGACAGGTGCTGTCAATCCTGCTGGTGCTGCCTAAGCTCTTCACGGAGCTGAAGCCCAAGCATAAATCCTAAACACTAAACCCTAACAACTACAACCCCACGGTTTAGGGTTGAGGGCGGTTTAGGGTTTAGGGTTTGCTTAAGGCGGAGTCTGGGAGTGGCTCCCTTTCACAACTCGATGTATCCCTTCTAACAATATCGACATGAACTGAAGCAACCCTCTTTTACACAGACGCCCTGAAGGATCCCCAAAATGGAACCAGCCCAGAATGATCCCATTACAAACATTGGGGAGCGCAGAAGATGCATCAATACGCACCCGTAGGCACCCTTTTACCCAGGATCCTTTGTGACTTCCTGGCTTCGTGAGCAGACCCCGCGCCTTCGGAATGGACACGGGCACTTCAGGCCCAATCCTTCTCTGTGTCATGTTGGGCCAAGAAAGTTATGTTGGTACAGGCTTCCGCCGCCCTAACACAAGCTTCTCGCTGTTCGTGGGAGTAAGAAGCACTTCAAGGCTTATGGGCGCTGGGTTCACGTCACGTCAGGTTTGGTGGTAGTTGAGGCCTGGCAGGTGCTCCTGAAATGCAGTGGATGCGCATAACAATACCTGTAAATTGACCTACAATGGTACCTAAATTCACTACCCAACTTTCCTCGGGCACTCATAAGTAATCCTGGTCACATGTTGAGCTGCCAGCGTTCTAAATCCCTACGCCCTAAAATTAGCAAGGCCAGAACATAGTCGACTGCACACCAAGCGTCACAGAGGCCGGATTCTTGAATGCGAATACAGGAAATCTCGGCAACTCCTCACAATTTGGGGGCAGGATTCCGCGCCGGGAGGGTTCAGATTTCTATTTCTTAGGATGTGGACCTTTTGATTCAGGTTTCATGGCAGGGAAGCATTGTGCGGCTTATGCCCATGCTAGCTTCTCCGCACAGCGATTCCCTGAACTCTTTTGAAACATCTTGCGCCAATGTGTTGCGCATTCCAGGTGCGCTGGGTATTCTATTTTTTTGGAAATCATGGTAGACCACTACACCCAGCAACCTATAGCAAATGGCACCTCACATTTTTTGGACATTTTCGCTCTTTGCTCAACATGTTTGAGCTTTGCTTTAGCATAGACTAACCCAAAAACCTAAACCCGAAAGCCTAAATCCGAAACCCGAACTCCTGGCCAGTCTCTTTGGCATGACTTCGGTAGTTGAGACCTGGGACACCACGCATGGGTCCCAGAAGACAAGGATCGCTGTTATATGGTTCTGTGTAGCATCTAGGGTTTAGGGGTCACCTAAATCAAGGGTATACCCTTTGGGTTGTGCCTATTTATGGCAACTATCATATCGGGGTATGTAAGAATATATGGGGACATGTAAGGCTCACGGATTGGGGTCCCGGGACTCTCGAAAATGGGGTTCCTGTTTCGGGGGGGATGTCTTGAAGAAGGATTGTAATGTTTTGTAGTACATGACACTCCTCATCTTTGGAAATCCCTAAGCCTAAACCCTGAACCCTCAAACTAAATACCGATCTGGATCCCTCTCTCAAGTTAATTATTCGATTTAAACTCACTCTCCAACCTGGACAAGCTCTTAGTGAATTGAAACGATTTAGGGTTTAGAATTTAGGGTTGGAGGTTCATGGGACGTTGCAACTGCGTGTAACGGGGTTAAGCATAATTGGGGTAACTTCTATAATCATTCGGAGTCCCTCTCAAAGCTGTTGGTTTTTGGGTCATCAGAACTGCAGTCAATGTTTCCCGCATGATTAGGGGATATGGGTTCTTATTAATTTGGGAATATTAGGGAGTAGATCAAACTACCAAGGGGCCCTATGTCCACCCTTACAGATCCCTTGAAAAAACCCTAATTTTGATCGTAGCTCGTATCAGCTTGAGCAAAGTATACATCCTAATTCCTAAGCCTGGAATCTGTTCTATACAAAACACTAGTCCAAAGTGAGGTTGGGTGAGGCCATCTTGTAGGCACATTGCAGCACTTCAAACTCTTAAGACCCTCCTCCTTCGAGAAGTATCTGATAAGACCGATTCAAGCCAAGTACCTGATAGGTTTAGTCCTCCCTACAACCCAAACTTACTGGTGGTTAGTAGAGAATAAGGGACTAGAATAAGTATTAGAGGGGGTTATATTCTCTTATTCCCTACTCATCACCTGTGAGCAAACGCGACTCCGTGGCCCATCACGATGATGGCAGGCGCAGGATCCACAGGAATCGGTGGCAAAACCTCAAGAAAGGTCTTGGACTTGAGGGTGCAACAACTAACCTTCCGAAGTTGGCGGATTTGGGGTGTAACCCTAAACGCCAACACCCTAAACCGCGTGACCCTAGGCTTGAGCTCTCGGGGAACCAAGACCTAGACTATGCTTAAGGCTTTCGCAGCCTCAACTTAGCCTTGCAAAAATGCCATGACAAACATCATATAACAGCTTGTCCAAGTTATGGTCCGTTGTAATCCCCCATTATAATGCGGCCCCAATATGAGGGTACCTCATAAAGGGACGATCCGTTTGACAGCCCCCCTATGTACAGCTGGAAGCACCGTACTTTCCATCAAAACCCCCCTGCCTTCGCAATTTCTGCCTCCTCCGAACTCACCTCACTGGTGTCCGCTGCACCAGGAACTCCTGGAAAAGATACTTAGAGGCTTCTGACCTTAGTAAGGTAGTAAATACTATGCTGCTTCCTAAGTTCCGGAGCCAAGGACTTTTTTGTAGTGGTCCGACCCAGTAAGACAGACATCTGAGATGCAAAGGAAACATTTTGCCAGGAAGGCAGAGCTGCTTCAACCCTGCACAATCCTAAACCCTAAACCCTGAGCCACCCCTTGCAAAAAAAAATGCCTGGAATGCATGAGGATTGCCAAGGAAAATTTGTGTGGACAACGCTGAGTCTGATGTCCTGGTTTTCTGGGTTGCGGTAGTGGAGAGAGAGGGAGGGTGCAGATCCATCAGCCATTGCCAAAGAGTCCAAATACCTGAATCAAACATAAATATAATCTCGGCCCAAGCGGGTTCCTGCAGACATACTTTAGGCCCAAATTCTCTACCACTCGGGTACCTGAAAGGGATTAGCCAGTGACTCGGAATTTCAGATCCTCTACTGTCAGAATGGTATGCTTGCACGTCGCTGTGACAATTTCTTCATTTGAGAAATCCACGGTCACCCTAGACACCCCAGGGGATACATAGGGATTACAAGGGAGGTTAGGGAGGGGGTCCTTTTGGGGATCATGTAGGGATTGTTTTGGCAACTTCTTCATTTACAACCTCGAGGGCTCCTCCCCAACTGGGGTGGAGACCAGACCAGCAATTAAATCTCCGCAGTGCACACAACCTCTATGCAAGCCATCCGAAAATTGTCACCTCTAATTACAGCACAGGTTGATGTGGCGGCTCCGTCCTTTGAACACCTTCGCACGCCGTACCTCCTGTATCTGAGTTGGGGCTTCGGGGAGCTCTAAGTTTCTAGGGCAAGTTAGGGTTCTGGTGCAGTCTAGACTGTGTTATGGTTCTTTGCTGGAGTTCCGAGCTCACATGGAGGGGTGTATTACTCGGCTGAGCTGCAATGAGTTAGCAACAGACAGGCCAACCTGGCACAATCTCTAAGGCCTCCTTGTTGCTACAGTCCAAGGGCTTAAGTCGCTTGAGCTCACGTTCAAGCCTATACGCTCAATACATCCTTAAGCACTTTCCTGTGAGCCGAGGTCTTAGTGATAACCTACCAGCGGCGCAGAACACACTGCAAATGTAGCAAA